AAGCGACACGGGGGTTTGCCATCGCCCGCTGCTGCATACCCGTCCCATCCGAGTACCAGCCAAGGAGAGCCAGTTTGTTGCAGTGGTTAAGTGCGCGGACTCTAATCTGGGAGAACTGGGTTTGATTCCCCACTCCTCCACTTGCACCTGCTTGATGACCTTGGGTCAGTCAAAAGTTCTCGCAGAGCTGTTCCCTCAAGGGCAGTTTCTGTCAGAGCTCTCTCAGCCCCACCGACCTCCAATGTTCCCTCTAAGCTGTGGAGTCTTGTGAGCAAAAATCCTACTTTATGAGCTACTGGCACTAAAGTTGTGAGCGAGTGATTTGGCTGCTGCATAAACTAGTTTGCTCTGGAGCCCTCCTTCCTGAGCTAAGACCAAAATGTGCGAGCCGGAGCCTAAAAAACTGCGAGCTAGCTCACACTCACTCAGCTTAGAGGGAACACTGCCTACCTCACAGGGTGTCTGTTGTGGGGGAGGGGGAGGGAAAGGAGCTCGTAAGCCGCTCTCAGAGTCCGAGTACAGGGTGGGGTATAAATCCAATCTCTTCTTCTTCTCCTCCTCTTCCAAGAAGTGAAGCGATTGGGCTCGCCCGGGCCCTCCAGGTCAGAGCAGAGGGGGCTCACCATCGCCAGCCTCTTTGTAACTACCCTGGGCTTCCTTGGTAGTCTCCCACCAGGGCTGACCCTGCTTAGCTTCTGAGATCTGAGGAGACGGGCCTCGCTGGGGCCACGCGGGGCCGCAGCAAAAGCGTAAAAGCAGCCGTTGGGCAAAGGGCGTTTTGTTCACAGGAGCAAACTCCGGGCCCTTTGGGGAGCGGGGCGCAGCTTGTGAGTGCCAGGGTCGACCCTGGTGAGGCGACTGGAGGGGGGGGGGTCTTTGCAGGATTCTCAGGCAGGAGAGATTGGAAAGCCCAGAGCAGAAAGGAGGCTCTGGCGAGGGCGGCGAGGGCGGTCAGCGGTGGGGGGGTTCCTTGTGTGGGGATTGTTGGGCAGAAGGGCCGCAAGGGCCTGTCTGTGGGTCACGAATGCTCCCTCTCAGCTGCGGAGTCCTCTCAGCAAAGATTGTACTCTGTGAGCTGCTGGCATTAGAGTTGTGAGCGAGCGATCGGGCTGCTGCATACGTCAGTTGGCTCCGGAGCCCTCCTTCCTGAGCTGAGGCAAAAAGGTGTGAGCCGGGGGCTAAAAAATGGTGAGCTAGCTCACGCCAACTCAGCTTAGAGGGAACACGGGGCTTCGAAGGGGCGATGCATCGCACAGAACTCTTTGCCTGCGGGAGAAAAATCAGAGCGGTGAGAGCCCAGAGTTTGGTGTCGTGGTTGAGTGCGCGGACTCTAATCTGGGAGAACCGGGTGTGATTCCCCTCTCCTCCTCCACTTGCACCTGCTGGATGACCTTGGGCAAGCCGTAGCTCTGATAAGAGCTCTTCTTGAAAAAGAGCAGTTTCTGTCAGAGCTCTCTCAGCCCCACCCACCTCACAGGGTGTCTGTGGTGGGGAGGGGAAGGGGAAGGAGTTTGTCAGCCGCTCTGAGACTCCTTTGGGTAGTGAAGGGCGGGGTATGAATCCAATCTCTTCTTCTCTTCTTAAGAGCCAGTTTGGTGTAGTGGTTAAGTGCACGGAGTCTAATCTGGGAGAACCGGGTTTGATTCCCCACTCCTCCATTTGCACCTGCTGGATGACCTTGGGCAAGTCGTAGTTCTGATAAGAGCTGTCCTTGAAAAAGAGCAGTTTCTGTCAGAGCTCTCTCAGCCCCACCTGCCTCCCAGGGTGTCTGTGGTGGGGAGGGGAAGGGAAAGGAGACCAGACCATAAGCCGTCCTGAGACTCTGAGTGTAGGGCGGGGAATAAATCCAATCTCTTCTTCTTCAGAGTAGGGACGGCTTCTTCACTCCCTCAGCTCTGCAGGGTGGGGAAATGGACGCCACTTGCAGCACATGAAGCCCTCATCACTCGTACACAAAAGCCCATTGTGAGGCAGGCAGACAAATGTAGGTCTGTGCCGAATTATTCCGCCCTTGGGTGAAGGAAGGGGGGGGGACCCGGCTGACCACAGCTGGAACCTGGGATGTCGGTCTGTGGTCTCCGGTGGAATTCTCACACGGCCTGGTGGGCGCAACCCCCCAATGGCTGCCGAAGGAGGCGAAGCTAGCCATGAAACGGTTGCCACGGTGAAGACCCGAGTGCTCTGGTGGCCGTTGCTCAGCCAATAAGATCTCCAGGGGTGAATCAGGAGCCCTGCCTGGCCCCGCCAACCTCCCCAACAGGAAAGGTGTTGGCAGGTGCTGTGGCGCCCACGGGCACCAGGTTGGAGACCCTTGGTCTACTCTAGGCTGACCCCATGCAGCTCCAGCAGGGCTGCTTCTACGCCAGGTACCCGTGCAAGGGCTCCTGTATCACAGATGGCCTGCGAGGCTTTATGCGTGGCTCACGTGGACGTGTGTTTGGGGGGGCACGTGATTGGCCCCCCGCTCTCCCCCACAGCCACTGGGTGCTGCTGACAGCCCTGGCCTCCTGGGCCCCTCGGAGCAGTTGCTTAGGCAGGCGGGCCGTGCCCAAGTGCCTCCAGGCCCGCGAGGGAGTAGGCGGGGCGGGGCCAGGCTTTGCGGTGTGGCATCTCTGGTGACTGCCAAGCCCCGGAGGCAGCAAGATGGAAACTTCCTGGGATGAAGTTAGCAGCGGCAGGCGCCAGATGGCAGGCAGAGAGAGAGCGGGGAGGCTAAAAATAGCCAGGAACACTTTCTCCTGCCAGGAGGCCGCGCCATGCGGCAAGGGGGTCAAAGCCACCTTTCCAGGCAGCGGGGAAGTTCCCGGGTCGGGCACAGCCAAACCGTTTGCTCCCTCCCAAGCCAGCCTCTTCCCTTGTCACGGCGCCTCGTCCCACATGGCTTTTCTTTGTGCCGATCTTTAGCAGTGGTGGCGGTCAGAGGGAGACCCCTCCTCCCTTTTTCACCAGTGGAAATACTGGTCTGATCCAACCCTTAGTCCAGAAGGGTTAGCAGGCAAGGCTCCCTCTAAGCCGTGGAGTCCTGTGAGCAAAAATTCTACTTTGTGAGCGACTGGCGTTAAAATTGTGAGCGAGCGGTTTGGCTGCTGCGTCAATTAGTTTGCTCTGGAGCCCCATCCTCCCTGAGCTAAGACAAAAGTGTGTGAGCTGGAGGCTAAAAAACTGTGAGCTCGCTCACACTAACTCAGCTTAGAGGGAACGCCGGTGGCAGGTAGGACTGCTACCTGGAAGTCACCTGGAGTGGGGAAGCGAAGCTGCAGTTCAACTATCCTGCTGCACCGTGGACAGATCCCCCCCCCCCATTACAGTGCAGGAGGGGATATTGTACAGGAGGGTCACCGAATGGCTGAAATGGGTGCTAATGAAACACTTTGGGTGTTGGGTTGTCCAGGGCGAGTTACAGCCCGTGCCCACATTCAACACGGAAGCCATCTTTCTTCTCTTTTGGAACGCGTGCCTCTGGCTCTTCGGAGTGCGGAGAGGGGCCTGGAACTCTGGTGGGCCAGACGCAAACAGAGGTGGGAGGTGGGGGATTCTCAGAAGCGAGACGGGGCCTCGGGGAGGCCCTGGTGGACGGGGGAGCAAGACGTCAACACCCCTCCCTTCCATCCACTGGCGGAAGCAGAATGAGTCGTGCACAGAAGCTGTATTATGCAAAGAAGGATAACGGAGAGACCGTCAAAGCACACTGACCTATGCACATCTATGCAAACTTCCTCATTTTTTTTCATGCGCACGACTTGTTCAGCGGCACCGTATGGGGTGGGGGAGGTGAACAGAGGTGCTGTGTGGCTGTGCAGTGTGTGACCTGTGAGTGAGTGCGACCTGCAGGTGAATGTGGTTCCCACAGCACTGCCCTGGGCAGGGGAGGGATCCGCTGGTCCTGGCCCCCGGCTGGGGCATGCCCCTCTCCCCTGCCGATCCCCCCCACACACACACACACAGTGCACTAGGCTCCCCGTTTCCAAAGAGGCCAACTGGCCAGGAGGGGAGGGGAGGTCGCGGCCGCCGCTCTGGCCAGTGGGCCCCTCCAAGCCCGGCTCCATCCTGCGCTCTGTTTTTCGGAGGCTTCGGCCTCCTCATGACCATAAGCTAACGCCGGACTGTGTTTGTCAGGCTCACCTATCAATAAAGATGAAGGAAGGTCAGGTGGTGTCTGTCGCTGGGGTGGGGTGGGGGGTGGGCTGGTGAAGTTCCTTCTGAACATGCCC